TGCTGGCTGGGGAATTCTGGGAGTTGAAGTCCAGACATCTTAAAGTTGTCAAGGTTGAGAACCAGTGGTCTACGTCAATAATTCCAGTATTTGTGGAGTCTGGTTTCTGACCTGATCTACCTCAAAGGGCTGACATCTATCTAGAAAGCCTGTCACATTCCTTCTCCAAAGTCATCTTGTGGTTCTCTGCAGGCATGTGGATTAAATTTTCCTCTGTGATGGCTGCAGGTAGATGCTGAGAAGTGTCTTTACCTGCAGAGTAGGCTTTACACAGATGGCCCAACAATTCAGTATAATGCAACTTCCTAGTCAAAGTTTTTGGTGCCTTTCCAAATTTTGACTCCTTCAACTAGACTGGAATTACATTTCCCAGAATTTGCAAGTAGGAAAAGAAAGGGTTATTCCAACCTCCCCTGTATGTTGGATGAACAAAATTGAGAATATTTTCTCTAAATGCATAAGCATGGATGATGGGTTGAGATAAGCTAGGAGTGGGGCCATTGTGTTCATCTGCTTAAATATTTGCTAAAATGCCAACCTAAGGGACAAGGAAAAAATCTTGGCCTGTTCACATTCAACAGGCAAGCCATCTAGGTGAGATTTGATGACTCAAGTGAGATTTTCCACTGTTTTTTGTTCTCTCAAGGAACGACAAGGGACTTCTCACACCAACAGTGCCTACCCATCCTTAAATGTCCAGTAGTTAACTTTTGAATCTATGTCCATCCACAAAACAGAATAGGATTTTGCATAATCTAGTTACAGAGATGGGAAAATGGAGTCCTTCTCAACATAGTACATGCAGTTTTCCTTCTGTGATGCAGTTAGTAAACTTAAAGAAGCCTGGCTCAGCTCTAGTAGAGATCTTAGGATGTTAAATACTGTTTTCTTTTTACTATTGCAGCCAGAATAGTCGCAGAATAACAGTATGCTGTAACCGGAGGGTTGCCGCTAAACATGCGCTTGGTTAGACCATTGGTACTTTGCTACTTGCATTGATTTCCCTGTTCTAATCAGTAAAGTGTGTGACCTATTCAGAAAAAAAAAGTGTTCTCAAAAGGCAAGTGTGTCAGGAGCTAACAGAGCAGTATACCCACCCGGACTTAACATTACACAGACTGCAGATCCTTACTTTTGTGGATGGGCTGATCTAGTTTCCTCTTCTAATGCAAAAGCTCATACAGCCAACAGTTGAAACTGAAAAGAGAGATCAATGGAGCAAGAGCTGGTACTAAGTGGAGGGTATTGCCCACTTAATGGCACTTACATGGGTCTGAAGGTGCCAGGAGGAGTAATTACCGTTCTGTGCAATAGTGTCTGATTTGTATGGGCCTGTCTGTAGCATGTACATTCCTCCTTTATGGCAGGAGAGCAATGATCAAAGTTCTGACCACTTCAATTTTCATTCATTCTAAGTTCTGCAAGAAGAGAATAAGTTACTATGTAGTTAAAGGAAATTTAAAATGTACATGCAATAAATTCTAGCTTCAGGATAGACCATCTAGACCAGTGTTTCTCAACCTTGGCAGCTTGAAGATAGGTGGACTTCAGCTCCCAGAATTCCCCAGCCAGCATACTGGCTGGGGGAATTTTGGAGCTGAAGTCCACCTATCTTCAAGCTGCCAAGGTTGAGAAACACTGGTCTAGATGGTCTATCCTGAAGCTAGAATTTATTGCATGTACATTTTAAATTTCCTTTAACTACATAGTAACTTATTCTCTTCTTGCAGAACTTAGAATGAATGAAAATTGAAGTGGTCAGAACTTTG